ATACAGTAAAATTATCCTTTGTAAGCAATATGATTTTCTATACGAACACCCAATAGACTAAAAAAAAAATTAGAAATAAGAATTCAGCAGGTTGCTGAATACATATAATTCATTGTATTTTTAGACTTTTTTCTTACGGAATTTTTCAAAAAAAGCTTAGAGAATATTATCAAGAATTACCCCTCTCCCTCTCTCTGGCTCAAACAATGATCAACTCGTGGCCAGTCTTGTTTATTTCCCACCCATAGCCTCATCTGTATTCTGGATAATAATGAAGCAGATTCCAGGAATATCCTTGTATCCATCAATATGTCAATATGTATCTCTAAAAGATAAGGATTCTTTTTAAATATAACTACATACTATTATCACACCTAAAAATTAACAATAATTATTTAATATCAAATATCCAGTCAATGTTCAAATTTTTAAAATCTGAACCCAAATAAAGTCCAAACATTGCTTAATCTAATATTTCTTCCTGTTTCTCTTTTTTCTCCCTACAATTTATTTGTTGAAAAAACCAAGTCATATGCCCCTAGGAGTTTCCTGTAGCCTGTATTTTGCTGACTGCATCCCCATGGTATTAGTTCACATGTTTCTCTGTGTTTCCTATAAACTGGTAGGTAGAGCTAGAAGCTTGATCAGATTCATGCTCAAGTCAATTTTTTGGCAAGGATACTTCATAGATAGTGCTGTGAATTTTCATTAAGAGAAATATAATGTCTCATCTCTCTTCCTGTGATGTTAACAGCCATTGATAAGCTTTGCTTAGGTCCAGGAATTCATTACAAAATGGCGATGTTCTATTCTATGACTCCTTCTTCATCTATTAACTAGAAAGCATATGAGAAAAGAAACTTCCCTTCATCAACTGTTTGGTTACCCTGAAATATAGTTGGTTACTTAGCATACTCCAAAGAAAACTAAGGAGTTTTTTTTAAGTATCATTATGAACTAATGTATTGAAATATATTTGGTATGATTCATTTATAATGCAGTTATGCTTAATGATGCTCAAATAGATTCATCTTTGGCCAGCCAGAGCCTATTCAATTAAGCACCTGAGTTGTTTTGCCACAACCCTATTAGTGTTTGATAACTAATGTGCAAGTCGTTCAAGACCCCAGGTATGGAATCAGATTGAACCATATGCCAGTTTTCATATTCAGCTAGTTTCTTCCTTATTCTTATTTCTACTAAATTAAAAATTCCTAATTATAAATTATAAATCAGCTGTGTTATACAGTCTGGATATTATGATTGAACAGAGAGCAGAAATTATAGCGAGGTTTCTCACTGAAGCCTACTTTCAACATTCCATTGAATGCTTAAAAAAAAAAAAACATATTCCACTCAAAGCTGGAAGTTAAATGCTTCAACTTGGAAGACTGAAACAAAAAGATTCCTAATTAGGATTCTGCTTGCATTTTGGCTCTGGGAAGTATTTCTTCATGTCATATTTCAAAATTTGGATGTGATTTTTAAATATATGCAGTAAAATTTCACTTTTTTTTTCTTTGATAAATTAATAAGCTCATCAAGTGTGGGAAAATGGTCAAACTCTTAAAGATTAAACTATTTGGTCCATCATTCAGTCTTTTACAAAATTCTCACATCTTATCCTTAATATTAAAATTCATGATATTGTGAATATAAAGCTGTAAATTCAGACTATTCAAAATACTAAATGTATTTGGTAAGTTATTCCCCTCGAAATCATAGAAATGGCATTAAAGTAAGTAAAGAAGTATTTCATTATCTTGTTGTACTAAAAAATGAATTAACAAACATGAAAACCCTTTCCCTCTGAACATCTAGCATATATCACTGTGGAAAAGCTTCTGATCATTTCTTCATAAACTCTAAATAGATGTGGTTTTAATGACCCAAAATTGCTTATATCCACAATTTTTACTCTTTTCTTCTACACTAAATCATGATCAGAAATCACACTACTGAATGCCAATTCTTCACTCTGAAAAAAGCAGTATACAAATTGATATCCTGGTGCAATCTCTTTTACCTGAAAAGCAAGTATCACCCTTTCTTGCAGTTCAAGTTGATGGTGCTTTGATCAGAAGGAATAAATGCAACCTTTCCAGGCTATAATGGCTTAAAAAACAACAACCAACAACCACCACCATCAAGAACAACAAAACAAAATAAAAGCAAAAAACTCTTCTGCTGTGGTGATTTTTCCATGATAAAACAGTAACACATCTACATCAAGTACTGATACATCCTCCATACATCAGTGCTTTCATCCAATTGAAAAACAGAATATCCACTAGCACATGCACATGACAGAATTGCTTTTCCAGATGGTATACCTTTGATAAGGAATTTTTGCCAAAAGCTCATTTTACTTTCTCTCCAAGCATAATATTTGTCATTAACTTTGAAACTGGTTTAACAAGCTTCTCAGTAATAGTGTGAGTTGACCTGTTTTTTTGCTAGGAAAAGGATACCTGTGAATGATACTTCAGTAGTATTGTCTTCTCTGACTTCAGCAACAAAATTTATTTTCACACTGAAAAGCATTGCTTTATATTATTTTATACACATTTCATTTCTCATCACAAGTCTAAAAGTTAATTATTATAGAAAAGGAAACTAAGAAATATTAATTCAATTCTCCAAGGTAGCATAAAAGTAGAACCAGTTTGTGCTCTTTCTATCACACACCAGAGAAGATTGTAGCAAAGAAATACCGATTCCTTTAATACACCTTGCTGAAATTTGTTTTCAAATGTTTTACTGAGTCCAGACAAAATATTTTTAAAAGAGATCATTTTAACTTAATGTAAACTGTAATCCAGGATATGTAATGTTCTATGGTCTTAACTCATCTTCTCAAGTGCTGACTGTGCTTTGTTCTAATCCCGCCAAAATAATAAAATCCCATAATCTCAAAATCTAAAGTCTTCTCAAAATAAAGTATAAGAAAATATTGTTCAGATGTATTTATATAAAGCTTCCAAGCACAAGCTTGTAAAATTTTCCACTTTCGTTCATTTTCAAAGGGGAATATGACAAATATGAATAGGGAATATCACTCTACAAAAACTTGCCAAAGAGTGGGGAGATATAATTGATGAATTAGAAATTCCTAATTTAAAGATTTAAGCAACCTAATTTAGGCTACAAAATACTTTTACAAGTAGAACCATAAATAGTTAACAACCACAACCAATTAGCCACAAATTCAGTTGATCAGAACTTCCTATTCCCTAATCTTTACTTTTGTTAAGATCTGAATATAGAACTTAACTATATTATATAGAAAGGAATTCTAAATTACGATTTTACATACTCATTTTATGATTGCATATAAATGGTTTTAGATGAGTGAATTTAGTCTCCCTAACCCCAGAGTAAACATTCTGGGTAAAAGATGTCTTCGGGCTGGCCCGGTGGCGCACTGGATAGTGCGCCGCTTGGGAAGCGCGGCGGCACTCCCGCCCGAGGGTTCGGATCCCACATATAGACCGGTTCCCGCTCACTGGCTGAGCGAGGCGCGGGAGCAACGCCGAGGGTTGCGATCCCGTTGCCGGTCCCGGTCCGGTACGGGGGCGACACTGAGGGTTGCGATCCGATGCCGGACACGGAAAAAGACAAAAAAAAAAAAAAAAGATGTCTTCAACTTCATTCATCATGAAGTTATAGAATAATTTATATTCTTCCACATATCTAGAATCATTCTTTGCAAAGCTTGGGCATTCAGCTAATGTTCTTAGAAAGTAAGAAGGAAAGACATATCTAAAAAATAAGTTAAATGGTCCTGGTAATAAGGCAAGTTGTATATTTAATCATTATTATTTGATTTAAAATGACACCAAAAAACTTTCAACACATCTAGTAGCTGCCAGAGAAGTTTTAAAACTTATCAAAGCAACTCTTTTTCATCTGCTACTTGATTCAAGAAAACTTCTCCTTGGCAAAAATTGCTTAATTACACCATCCCCTTCTAGGAGGTAATCCATTTATTTTAACTGAGGCGGTCTTAGAATTTCCAATATCATGAATTCATATTATTTTGGAATGTTTTTGTAGAATGAAATTTACAATCCTAGTAATTAGTGATACATTTTTCTCAGATTTTCACCTTCTTTACATTCTAGCAAGGTATCAATTTACAAACCTCTGTAACATACACAGAGAAACCAACCAACTTTGACCTGCCCCCTAAAATACTTTCCATACTTCCTGCCTATTCGGAAGACTATAGTTAAAATAAAACTATTTTATTTTTAAATAAACACCTAACTAACTATACCCTGTTTGGAATTTATATGTATTTTAGAAAAAGAGAGGACTATCTTTGTTTTTGTTTTCTGTTGATATATTTCCTTTTTGTTTTCAGTTGTCTTATGTAGTCTTTAAAGTGGAGATCCAATCCATGTTTTGGAAGTATCACTTGATTCTTTAATTACAAATCTTGTTTTTCTGGTCCAAGTGAAACTAATCCATCAGATCCCAAAGGTCCTACAGGGACAGCCTATGGGGAATAACAGCAACATTTCTTGGTGAATACAAAATCCTTAACAGTAAGTTCAGGAGAAAGGGAGAGAAAGGTTTTAAACAAAACTGAGGGACAATCACTAAGGTCTCTGATATCATATGGGCAGACTCTGTTACAATGCTGAATTCAGTTGCTCATCTCATGACATAAATAAAATAAATAAAATTTTTAAAAATTGACATTTACTGCAGTATTTCTAACACAGATAGTTTACTAAGTCTTAATCTGCACTCAATATCTTATTATTGACATGCTTTCCTAATTATAAGGAATACCTCCCTTTAAAATCTGGATCTTTTCTCAGTTGATTTTTGTGGGGAGGGTGGGGGATGACATAGGGGAAATAAACTCTTCTCTAAAAGCTAACCATTCTAACATACAAGAACTTTTAAACTTATAAAACCTATATACAGAAATCAGCATTATAAAATGACTGCCAAGGGGTCAAATTAAAGTAAAGTTGTGCCTCAGATACCTTAGAATAAGTAGAAATTCTAAATGTTGGTGCCTTCATTTGGAAGCAAAGTTTCCTATTGCATGATCTTGCCTGATGGTCCTTGATTTTATAATCAGTCAGTTCCAGTTACATTCCCATTAGTATGGACAGATCTAAAGTAGGAAAAAGAAGATACATTTAGGCCACTGAAAACATTACAGATTTTAGATACTGTGACACATCACTATTTCCCTGTAAGCATACCAATATTCTTACACAGATGCTTTACTATTCCAAAAATGCCACTTCCCATTCTTGCCACTACTACAGGTTAACAAAAAATAAAGATTAAAGTAATAGATAAATATATAAAATTGACAAGAGGTAGTTATTGGTTTTTAAAAAAAAATTCAGCTCCCCAAAGAAGGTATTCAGCAAACTGGGATTTGCACTAGTATTCCAAGAGGCATGGGACTGGTAACTATTAGCTTATTCATCAGAGCCAGTGGAGTCATCCCAGCAGCAGTGGCCTCAGTACTCAATTTTAGGTAAAATAAAATAGTAAGAGGAAATAGGATTCCCCGCAGAAGATAACTCTGTGATAAAGAAGCACCCAATATCATGGCTACTATTCATTCCTGGGCGACTGGCCAGTGGGATATTACAAAGCGGATTTTACTAAATTAGTGATAGTGCTGAATCTTCCTATTCCACTTCAAAGCTAATTCCAAATAGCAGGGAGACAGAACCTTCTTAAGAAATGTGAGCCCGGGGCTGGCCCGGTGGCACACTGGATAGTGCGCCGCTTGGGAAGCGCGGCGGCGCTCCCGTCCGAGGGTTCGGATCCCACATACAGACCGGCTCCCGCTCACTGGCTGAGCGAGGCGCGGGAGCAACACCGAGGCTTGCGATCCCGTTGCCGGTCCCCGGTCCAGTTACGGGGGCAACACTGAGGGTTGCGATCCGTTGCCGGACACGGAAAAAAGACAAAAGACAAAAAAAAAAAAAAAGAAAAAGAAATGTGAGCCCTGGGCCGGCCCAGTGGTGCACTGTAGCAGTGTGGGCGCGGTGGCGCGGTGCTTGGGGGCGTGGTGGCGCTCCCGCCGAGGGTTCGGATCCCACATACAGACCGGTTCCCGCTCACTGGCTGAGCGAGGTGTGGGAGCAACACCGAGGGTTGCGATCCCGTTGCCGGTCCTGGTCCGGTACGGGCGCGACACTGAGGGTTGCGATCCGTTGCTGGACACAAAAAAGGACAAAAAGGAAAAAAGAAAAAAGAAAAAAAAAAAAAAGAAATGTGAGCCCTGATGGCTTCTCACTATTTAAAGCTTTACCACCAAGGGTTAAGCTTTTTACTAACATTCCCTTTAGATCACAAAGATAAGACAGTGGGTCAGCTCCAGAGACAATCATATCACAGGAACTTGGGCTAGTTAATTTTACCTGTGGCTCCCACCCCTATTACCCTTGGGCTTTATTCAAAACACACAACACCATTCTGGCCAACTACCCTGTCTCCTATTTTCATGCCCACAATGCTCTCTATGCTTTTTCACCCACCCCATTTGTCCCCCCCACTGCTGCCCTTCCTTCCAATCTTTTTCACAAGGACCTCTGGAATCTCCTCTTATGTGGTAAAACAAATCATCTCTGCATTCTCAACCTTATCACCGACCAGACCTTTTCAACCACCAGGCCAAATCTGGCTCTTGAAAAGAACCCTCTAGAGTGAAGGGTAAGGCAGTAGGGATCAGCTTCTCCAGAGTGACACTTTCAGATCACAAGCAATCCCCATCTTTCCCGAGGCTTTCCATCTGGCCGTACTACCCTCTTCTTCTCTTTGTCATTCAATATGGGTCCAGACTCTATCCCTTAGAAGTGCGCTACCTGCTCTTTCACCACTCCAGTTGCTGTGTTAGCCCCAGTCTCAAATTTTTGGATGTCTCCCAAGCTATCAATCCACCTAATATGTTACTTTCTTCCTTCCACTTCACCACCTTTAAACTCCTAATTCTAGGTCAATCCAATCACATGCTAGAGAAAAAAAAAATCACAAAAACATGATCCTGCTATAATATTATGGTCTTCAAATTCAGCTAGACACTGAATGCTGTGCAGCAACCACTTTACATATCATTAATCAGGTATTTCTCCCATTACTCACACTGCCTTTCTTTCCAAACTTTTGCCATTCTGCCTCTTTCAGCCCTACTAGGGATGGGATGTGATAGGGGTTTCTTCATATTTTCCTTAACCATTTGTGAAAGTTGTTTATATTGTGAAAATATGTCTTAGACTTACTTTTAACATTTTCTCAATCTTATGACTGGCCTTTAACACAGAAGTTTTCATTTTTAGGTGGACAGATTTGTCCATCATTGCCTTATTTCTTTTATTATTTCTCTGCTTTGAAATTTCTCCCCCTTCAATAACAGCAGATAAATACTCTAATTTTCACTTTTCTATGAACTACTTTTTGAATACTTCATTCCATATGATGTTTGAAGTGAGATTTGGCTCTAAACTGAACTGTATTCCAAATTACCAACCAGTTTTCCTACCAACTTTAAGTAATGTTCACCATCCGTCCCTTGGTTTACCAAGTTTCTTGTGTATTTCATTTGTTTCCCAACAATAAGGTCAGTCTCTGGGTTATAATCTAAATAAAGAAATTATTGGTTTTTGTATGTTCTACTTTGCGACAAAACTATTCTTTGGTATTTTCATCTCCTTATTCTTCCTGACAATAGTTAAATACATTTCATCAGTTTCCAAGGTTATTTCCAGTGAATTCATGAGTAAGAAATGGTTGCCCAGCCTATTCTGAGTACTGTGTGTTTCTGTTATACTTGTTGCCTATACACAGTACTCCTTTCTGCTTTGACCGACCATCCCTACCTACCACTGGATTTAAAACCAAAACCTTTCTAATTGTGCTAGAAAACTACCCATTTTATATATTTATTTATCTGGAGCCAGATTCATAAAACCTTGTCTTTGCAATTTTCCACACTTTGCGTTCACTTTCTCATTGATGAAATCTGGTTGACATAAAATAAAAGTAGGTCACACACAATATTTATTTGATAGGCCAACCTTTTTTTTATCAGCTGTGAAATACTTTTTAGATCTTCCTATTATCTTTCAATATCCACATAGTTATGTTTATTCTATTTTATTTAATTTTTTGAATACATACTAAATTCTTAATGCAAAAATTGAAAAGATGTAAAACGGAACATATATTTGAGAAGTTTCATTCCTATATCATCCACATGCAGCCCATTTTGCCCTTGCTTACTATAGGTCATCACTTTTATTAGTTTCTTGTACATCCTTCCAGCAATTATTTGTGCAAATACACTTAATTGCAAATATAGTCTTATTCCTCTTGCCTTCTTATATAAAATGTTCAGCTTTGTAGTTCACTTTTTTTCCACTCACCATATCATGGATATTTTTCCATGTCAGGATATGTTTCTTCATTGTTTTTTACAGCTCCATGATATTTCACTGTGTATAGTAGTTTGTGTAACCAATTCCCTTATTTTAAAAAAATTAGATTCTATAAATTAAGTCTTGTTTCTGAAAATAATTTAGTTCAAGAGCAACAATTGTACAAACCGACAGTACAATAACCTGTGTGGTGAGATTTCACAAATTTTTATGCTACTGATAAATATAAGTTCCCTTGTACATTGCTTTATCTTTCTTCTCAAGTTTATTCTGTGATCCTATCTAAAACCTATCAACCATTATAGTCATAAGTCTGAAAATAGAAGGATAGTTCTTAGGGTAATAGGCCTCAAAATCTGAAAGCTGCCCAATCTCACTAAGAATTTCGGTGGGCCTGCAAAAAATTAAATACCTTGTACAAGAGACACAAGTCAAGAAATGTTCCATTCTACTTAGTGGAACTGGGAATGGCTTCATGGAGGAATTAGCCACTTGGGTTCAATCCTAAATGATGAAGTGCTCAAAAGGCAGGTGAAGGAAAAGAGAAAACATTAAAGAAGGATTAGCATAAAGAGAAGTTTAAAATAGCGTACCTTGTTGAGTAGTTCCACTTTTGCTTAGAATGAAGAAAGCCAGAAAAGAATGTTGTTACCACCCTAATGTGAAGAAAACTCATGTCTACAAAATTAAAACTACTCTTGGCCAAACATAGAGTTTAGGTCACCAGCCAACCAAGTAAATTTAATTTTAACCAAGTAAATTTTATTCCTTTCCTTGGAGGGATAAACTCCTCCAAAGAAAGGCTACACAAAAACTGTATCACCTTTGGCAGGTCACAGAAAAAGAAGTGGACACTGTGTAAGAAGAAATCAGCTAAAATTTTAACAAATTCTTAAATACCAAGTGTGAACTATTGTGTCTGGAATATCTGTGGACCCAAAACACAAGGACAATTTTCACTCAATTGCAAAATCTTCCACAAGTGTGCTGGAAGTGTCCAGGACAGTCCTTTAAGCCCTGCCTGATACACCAACTGTTCTCTAACACAGAACAAAACCTCGAACCACTAGGGGAAGAACAGAAAACCTTCTCACCCCAAGGTCCAGGCAAAAATCCATTGCTTAGGGGAGAACAGAAGCAAAATGTCTCTGCCTTGGCAGGGAGAGGGGGGTTAGAAAAACATGCTCAGCCAGGGGACACAGGCAAAGATATACTGTTGCTGGAGAGGCGTTGGGGCAAAAACCAAAATAGAGCAAAACCCCTGCCACTCTAGGGGAGGGGGAGCAGGAGAAATTCTTTGGCACACGGTCCTGCACCAGTACTAAGGAGAGATCTACTACCCCTAGGGGAGGAGAAGGATATTTCTGTCCAGGACCAACCACAAACACATCGCAGAATCTGACTGCCATAGAAGAGAGAGCAAGAACATGGAGAAAGCCCAACCACTGATGCCCAGGAACAAATGACCTGACTTCAACTGAGCCTAGACAAGAACAAAAGAGAAGCCCACCCTGCCCTACAGGCACAGCATTGAGCAACAAACACTGGGGGAGGGACAACAGCAAAAAGAGAAATTCCTCTTTTGTGCAGATGTACAAAGACTTGAACAATGAGGGTGCTGCAGGAAGAAAGAGAAAAATCCTGTAGCACCACATGCCATACTCA